GACTTTCGGTTTTTGGCTTAAAACTACAGTCCTTAATATACAACTGTACACTCCCATAGAAAGTATTTAACTAGTATTGGTAGGTATAAATTAACATGAATCACTTCTCGAGTGAGACAAATTGTGGACCGTTTATTGTATGTCGGTGATTAGATTGGAATGAATTTTCTGGTTTGGAATTAAATTTTAATCTTATGTTATCTGTATTCTCTGTGACTAGCAGTGATATCAAAATGTCGAATTTCGTTCCACTCAGGATTTGTTAGATGAATTCAACTACCACTGTTATCATTAAATCACTATGAAGTGGTACTCAGTTGATATCTGAGTCGATAAGCAAAGTAGTTTTAATCTTAAGTCATATATTTTACTTGGAAAAATAAAGTAACCGTTTTTATACAGAGTAGAGACTTGTTTGTCGAAACTCTGTGCGATTAAAGACAGTATGAAATTGCACTGGTTATGATGACTGAATTCATAAGAACGGAACAGTCAGAAGATTCTTAGCTAAAGCCGTATTTATTTTCATTCCTTACAGCCATTTCTCTACTGTTTTTCTGTTATCACTTCTGTTGTAAAGTTAATTTTTTAGAGCTATATCCTGATGCCTTAGCTATTATTCGATTTAAGCGCAATGTAGTTTATAAAGGTTTTTCAGCATTAACATACTCACAGCTGAGTTTCCCTCACTACTTCCCTAAGTTCTAGGACGAATGTTTAGGTAGTTAAATAAGATTATTTTATATAAACGAGTAGTAGAGTGCCACTAAAATCCATCTTTTCTCAAAAACTTAGTGAAATCCACAAAGAACACATAACTGATGTCCCATAGCAACAGTTATATTAAGGAACACAATCACTAAGAAATGAACTAGGTAAATGTACACATCATCAGCCGTAAACTTACTGGTAAATGGTAAAATGTGTTAGACAATGAGGCGAATTTGATAAGTAAAAAGTCATTGATTCGTCGTCACATCAGATTCTTTGCACCGACAGATCAAAGCAAAAATAAAACTGAAATTATGTTGAATTTCCACATTTTAGTGTACTGAAGCGCGTGGTAAGAAGTGGAGACATACAATATAGCATATTTTGAACCGACAAAAAGACCTCAGGGCATCTGGATTTCGCCAGTGATTTAGATCTCATGTGTCACAAACTCGAGGATTTACTAGCAAAAACCAACATGTTGGCAGACGGGAAACTAAGACAGGAATTCATGTGAATGTAGACACGAGGGAGGTGATGAAAATACTCAGTCAATCACCTAACAACAAGGACCTTCAGTGGGATTAATCTGAAGAAAGTCATCTGTTTCATCTACCTGAAATGAGTAGCATAATGTCAATTACAAGTATGAGGCGTGTAGATGAGAATATCAAAGCCAGTCAGGGTCAGATCGGGAAAGCGAAATAAGAGTTATTTGCACTAAGTTTGCAAATCAACAACAAGATACAAGTTTCAAAACTAATGTCAAGTCGGGTGTTCAGTGGTAGACTGCTCTACAACTACGCTAGATGTCTGGGTTCAAGCTCCGGCTGACTCATTCACAAACCTCGTCTAGCCGGTAGTTTGTCGGAAGAAGATAGGTTAGGCTTAAAGCTAGCAACTGTATCTCTTGAAAGTAAAACCACCAGTGCTGTGACTTTAAAGCTTGAAGCTGTATTTTCTATTACGAATGAATAATAATAACAATAATGATGAAACATAGATTCAATATGGTCGATGTATGTAGAGATCCAATAGATTCATTACAAAAAAGATAAGGTGGATCGTTTTGATTGATGGATTCCGTAACCGAAATTAGGTATTCGTCAAGATGTACACTTTAAATTCTGTCCTTATCTTTTTTCACCTATTCAGTAAATAGTTCATTTCAACAATATGTATATATATATACCTTATCAGTTATATTTCTGAGAATAAACAATTCATTCTTCACAATAAGTTTGAAAAATGATCATTTTTAAGAGTATTGAACTTTAAATGTTATTTTGTTCATATTAATGTACAGTTATTTAAAAGTAAAGTAATTACTTATGTTTTCAAACTTAATAAAGTTCATGCTGATTGTTTACAAATTATCTCAGAAAAATAATATATTTATATAAAGTATAATCACATTGTAGGCAAAGTTTAATCGCAATCTAACGAATGCGTATTCAATGAGATGCTTGTAAATAATAATCGAATAGTCATGTTTCCTGGTTGTCACATAGATTCGTAAAAACTAGTTAACTACTTTATTATTTACCAACTTGGTTAGTTAGTTTGGCTTATTTTGGAAGAATCAGTGAATTGCCTACATATTGTGAATTGTTGGATGACGATTTGAACACATTAATGTGTCTGATGATCGTATTTTCTTTATTACACAACATTTAAACTTCAACCTTTTTTAGTCTCCATTCACAGTGTAAATATTCGAATTATCTGAGATTTGCCTTGAATCAGTGCTATCGCATATGCCTAGTGATCATTTGATGCACCAGGCAAGCTTACTGAAGTATTTTAGTAAGGGAACAAAAGTCTGGTTGGAAAACGAGTAAAACTAACTGATGAGTGACCGAAATTTCTCTGTGAATCTAAGTGCCATAGAACACGAATGGTTCAACACAAACTTGAGATATTTAGGATAACTTCATTAGGAAATCGAATTCAAATGTGAATGTTGACGTTTGAATAATTATGAGACATAATGCTGTATTCGGAACGTCATCTAATAATCGGCAACATTGCATCACAGCATTCTATAACAGTATAACCACACTACTACAAATTTATACGCTATTATAACACCCAGTTCCATACCTTTCTGGAGAGTTCTGTTAAACGGTGCTTGCCGTGACTGTTTTCATGATCGACCCTCAAGCTTTTCAATCTTCATTCTTTTAAGCTTAACAAGGTGTTTTTATTCATGAAGTTCTGAGTTATTTGGTTTTGCTAAAAATGAAATTTTGGTAGCTAAAGGTTTAGGCAACAGGTAGTCAGTATGCTTATGACTAAGTGACAACTTTCATATAACAAATGTCCATTATTTTGTTCAATGCGTCGGTGGCATAGCGGTTAGGACGGTCGCCGACCATGCACACGGTCCGAGGTTCGATCCCCGGCCGACGCACTCCTTTAACTCATTAAGCCAGAAATAATGCTGGTAAAGAGGAAAGGTTGGGCATGAGGGTAGCAACCTCATCCTGTAAAAGTAAACACTACCACAGAAACTTCAAGCCATTAGCTTGAAGCTCTATGTTCCACTGTGGAATGTGAAGAAAAAAAATTATTTTTTTCGAGCTTGTATAGAGTAAATATCAGCTCCAGTAGTTGTTCCAGTTCCTCTGCGCTTCTATTTTAAAACACAGTTATAAAAATTGGGTATTTTAGAGAAAAAGTAAATTGCTAATAACTACTACAAATCTAACAACAATGGACACCATTCTTTTCATCAAATCAACACGTAGATCTATCAAATTCTTCGATATTTTTTACTGTTTTCAATGTATATCTATTAATTTTACTGGGTTGAACGAAATCGTCTGTGTTGACACATGGACTTATTGGCAAACGTAGTCAAACTTAGGAGACTTAACAGGGATTTCTCCTAGAAGCACATGAAATAACTGAGACTCATTATTTCGGTCACGTTAGATAAGTAATCAGAAATCCTGTGTATAAAGAAATAACTAATACTAGTTACACACAGCGCGTCTGTTGGGGGCTGATACCTATTAAACAACGTCTTTTTCAGGCTTACTATCGATTAACTGAGGCTTAAGAGTGAGTCGGGGAATGATCGAGCCCTGACAGCCATGAATGTTTGGCGAGAATTCTATCAGTAACCCAGAAACTCACAGTCTATTGTCTTGATATTTATATATTTTAATAGTAATGAAACACGTACTTCATCAGAACCTTTTGTAGAGTGTTTAAAACCATGAAACCATATCGTAACTTCATGTATTTAAATGGATCTGCCGTTGACTGCTTTCGTAGTCCAGTATATACTAACGTAAGTAATGAACAGAATGTTCATTACTTAGATGTGTCAGTTCATTAATGACATCATGTGATTTCTAAACATTTATTCAACTGGAAAAAATCTGTTTTGTGTCAGTGTTAAACTTCAGGCACTACAATCAAACCTTTTATGAGAATTGAAAGAATTGTCGTCTGAATAGTATTCATGATAAATTCAGTTAAGCAAGCATTGTGACATTTTCAAAGAAGCTTGTATGATTAATTCGAACTTGCCTGGAAAAACGTGTGAAGTGCATACTTATCATTAAATAACCAGCTGTTAGCATCACACGTAAATACGTCAACAGCAATTACTATTGCAGTGGTAAAAATCCACTGTTAATGCATCAAACCAGTGTTAGTTAATCTTTGTCCTCATACACCAGTTAGAGCAGAAGCCCATAAGCAGAAATGATGAAGTACTTTTATGTGTTGTGTCGATGATTTTAACCGATGTATGGATATGTGTATGTTTAACTCATTTTTAGGTGCACACATACAGAAAATTGCTGTCTCTACCTTTGTCATATAGATTCATACAAATAAACAACACAAGTAACCAGATAAATAATTATTCGAAGCTAAGCACAATATAAGAATGGTCATTGATGTATGTATTTTTTAACCTTGAAATGTTTGCATGATTTGAGGTAATCAGAGCTTTGAAGAATTGATCATGATCACATCATTTTCGAAAAAATAAAATAAACGTGATATAGTTCCGATTTAAAAAAAACTAAATCAAAAACAATAAACACACCCAGTGTGTACACATTTTGATAACCCTGAACTTGTCAGTACATTAGAGATTTAGTCAATAAAGTAGGTTAGGAATAAATGATTTCAGTGAATGTGTTGTTTGAAATAAAAATTATATTTTGTGTAGATGTGTCCATCAAACAGAAAAAGCTGCACACTGAAACACATGCACAAGCTTATTTATACAAGTATGTGTGTGCCAATGTCGCCTGCTAATGTATTCACTGAACTTTTAGGCTGATTATCAATGTGTAGTTGGTTGTTCACTAATAAATAAAGTAAACCACTTGAAAAATAGAACTGAGAACAGTTTGTACACACTAGTTTTACAAATACTGTTGTAATCTTTGCGGATTATTTGTAAAAATGCATAACTCCTAAAGTGATATGCTTAAAAGATAAACTCATCCACTCTTACAATGCCTAAAAGTCCAGTGATCAGTAAAGATTCGAAGTATTTCCCGAATTTTATTAAACGTAATAAAAGTGTTAATCAGTCCAGTCGTTATAATGGTAAGTATAATGGTGATAATAACTATAGTAATAGTGATAATAACTCCTTTCATAAGTGATTTTGCCATTTTTCTTACGCCAGTATTTATATTTCTTCTGTATGTAACAATCACCTGTTGAATTAAAATCATGGTTTGACATTGAACAGCCAACCATGGTTACGTCCTGTGTGTTTATGATCGGCACTTACTTAAATGTCTAACTTCCCATTAAAACTTAATCACTGAATTCTCAAAGGAATACGGCTCAGGAGGCCCCTATTTCGGACCATTATCTACAACTTGAAATGATATTTCTTCAAACTACTTACTATAGTTCGAAACATGAATAAGTTCATGGACGTAAAAGAAACCAAATGACTGTTAATAACTAATCCACCGTTTTTATTTCCACGATCCTCCTCATTCGCACAATACAAATTTAACTTCAGTCTTCCTTATACAAGTGTCAATGATTAGTATAATTTAACACTTGAACATCTTACTAACCCAACTAACTCCAGGCTACTGAAATTTTCCTTGAGTACTTCGGTCAAAAATACTACAACGTCTAATTCACGCGGAATTTCTTAAGGCATACAATACTTCGGGCAGTGAGTTGCGTTAAAATCATTATACATTATTTAAAACAATCTCAGCATGTTTAGGAAATCAAAACAGGAGTTCCGTCAGTAGAATTCATCTGCAGAAGCTGCGGCCAACACAACGAAACATGCCGAAAACTCTTGTTTCGATTTTAGAAGCACTCTGAGAGTACTTCATAGAATTTTATAATATACAGTACTTTATTTACATGGTAAAAGGAAAAAATATTGTCAAAAATACAAGAACGAAAGTTCAACTTTACTGAGAGTTCGAGATTACTCAAAATAAATTGCACAATCCAAAAAATATTAATAACAGTGAGATTTTTCGAACCTCTAGCCAGACTGTGTAACTAAGTTGAATTTAGTAATATAATTAGACAAAGAGTGTGTAGTTCAACGGCTAGAAATTAAAATTTTAAAATAGACATAAGTATGGCAAGGAGAGATCGCCTGTTACATTATTAACTAGATGAATGAAAAGATTCTCAAGGGTAAAGTTCAAAAGGTTTATACAGACAAATTCCTCATTGGATCTTTTGTACGTAGAGTTCAAGCATGAAAGTGTGGATTATCAGACTTGAAGAGGTTTCATTCAAACACCTTTCCGAAAATTCTGACATACTGATTAGATTATGTTAAGGTTATTTACTCTTCTCCTCCTAACTCCACCACGATGACCAGAATCAATCAAATACTCTAAAATTGGACTGCATAATTCAGTCACTGGAAGACAAGACGGAGTTGGTCTTTTTTTGTCGAAAAACAATACTGCCTATTTAATAAATTTCGACTGTTGAGTCTACTGAGTTAACTATTTGATAAAGGAGACCATTTTACGTAACAGAAGTGTATATGGTCTAGTTGTTCTCTTAGTCATAGATTTTACGATGAAACTTTAGAGATACGCGTTTTCAGCTGTTTACTAGGTCGTCAGTTGAATTTGCACTGCAGATTTTACAGACTCGACGACTCCGTTGATCAGAATTTGTTGTGCTGTCTATACGCAGCCCACTGTAGAAGTTCATTAACTGAGCATTCCAGGCCAGTTTTCTTTAGACAGATACAACTTATTAGTTATAAAATGTTTGAAATCGATTGCGTTATGAAGACTTGCTTGTTACACGAGCATCTTAGACTAAATGCATATATATCTTGATATGCACAAACACCTTTCCTTCTTATCACGTGATTGCAAATATGATGATGATGATGAAGAGTTGAGCTTGGAAATGTCTGTGGAAATCGAGTTCCGTATGAGAAAAATTTAACAGCAATGAGTATTTTAGAATTCAATAGTGAACTGAGAAATTTATAGATAACTACGTTTATATTTCATCGTTTAAACATCAGTTAGCTGCTAAGCAGCTGATTCGTATCCAACTTTTGTGTTGTGTTTAAGATATGGAGGCTGAAGCACACTATCTGTATAATGACAGTTTCTCCGGTAGGTAATTCAGAGCAATTACAGTGTCGATCAATTAGTCCTACACAACTGAAAACCGAACATTTTATACGTTGTGATTGACAGTTACATTTGTCAGTCAAATTTTCAGTGAAATATTTCTATGATTAGAATGAAATCACCAGTAAATTGTAGACGAACTTCTAGATCGAAGGTAGATTGGAGACGAAAAACTTGCCTATTTCTAGTCTTATTAAGGTGTATATCTTCGTTTTGATTTCAATTCTCAAAATATCTAACTTGTGACCATTTCAGATAGCTGGGTTCATCATTCTTAGAGTTACTGTAAGCAGTGTCATAAAAGTTCCTTTGTTAAATAAATGTATCACACAGTGATTTAGAAGTAATAACTGGATAACTTTCTGACGGAAATTTATTGCTCACAGTCTTCTCAAGTCGAACATTCCATTTAATGTGATTGTAAATGATAAATTTTGTTTGAAATATCATCCATTAGAGAGAAAAAAATACTGAATTAGCAATAAATTGCATACCTACTCAGTATTTATTATTATTATATCCTTTAATTCCTAGAGGAACATGGGGCTTCAGCTGCGCGTCTCCATTGCCTTCGGTTTACTGCCAACTTTTTCACTCCGATCCAAGTCTGCCCACATGCTTTCATCTCCTCCAAATCACCCTTGCACCGACGACCAACTCGCCGCTTCCCTCTCGGGTCCCAATCGAGCGACGGCTTGTCTAGTGATGTCACTTGATGGTTTCCTCAGAGTATGACCAGCTAATCCATCTCCATTTCTTCCAGCCTATTTGTTTCACAATCGGTTCCTGGTTGGTTCGCTCATTGCCAGATATCCCTGTTGCTGATCTTTTCTGGCCATCTGATCTTGAGTATTGAGCGAAGACAACTGTTAATGAAGGTCTGTAGTTTGTTTGAGATGCTCTTTATGACGCGCTGGCCAAGTCTCTGATCCGTATAGTAGCATTGACTGACTTCACATTGGTGTTGAAAATCCGGATGTTATTTTTGATGGGACCCCTTAGTAGCGAAGTAGTCGATCGACGCTGTCGAAGGCCTTTTCAAAGTCGATGAAGTTGAGATAGAGAGGTGACTGCTATTTCAAGCTTTGTTCAATGATGATCCGTAGAGTGGCGATTTGATCTATGCATGGCTTATTTCTCCTGAATTCGACCTGTTCCGGTCGAAGTTTTTCATCTAGGGCTTGTTTGATTCTTTTCAGGATGATTCGGCTTAGTATTTTGCTTGGGGTGGACAGGAACATAATGCCCCGCCAGTTCTTGCATTGACTTAAGTCTTCTTTCTTTGGCAGTTTGAATAAGTATCCTTTCTTCCAATCCGCAGGTACCTTACCCTCTTTCCACACCTTCTTCACTAGTGGTGTCATCAAGTCCGCTGTTGTCTCTGGGTCCATTTTCAATGCTTCTTCTGGTATTTCATCTGGTCCTGCTGCTTTTCCAGCTTTTAGCATCTTGATTGCATTCAGGACTTCTGATTTCGTCGGGGGTTCGATGAAAAAAAAACCTACTCAGTGTCCAAGTCTTATTGTATATTACTTGTGCTCAGAATATTTTAGGATGTGTGTGATTCAATATTTAAACACTGATCATTCTCAACCAAAACTTTTCATTCTAGTTAGGCTATTTTTACATGCACACATCTAAATTTATTATACTGGTAACAAATAGCCAGTTAAATTTTTTGCCATTCTCCTTAGATAAATCACTCTTTGCTCGTAATCAAATTCACTCTCTAGAGATTATCTGTTTAAGTGAATAGGTTTTTGAATTTCAATAATTAGGTTGGCACTCATGCATATTGATTGATGAAAGACTGAATAAGTAATAAGTGGTTAAAAAAAACAGAGCCTGATTCTTACATACACATACATTCGTCTTATGAAATGTAAACATTCCCGCCAAAAAAAGACAGTCTTATACTACGTAATTTATTCTCAACAAATAATTTTTTGAAAAAAAATGCAGAACACCACTGTTAAACAGTGTGTCGCACATCACCTAGCAGAAGATAATTTTCATGAGTGTGAACACAGAGGTTTTTGAAATTTCTGTCAAGTGAATAAAGAAAAACAAGTGAGTAGTTAGCTATTATTATTATTATTATTATTATTATTATTATTATTATTATTATATAAGCTTTATTCCAAATCAGTACTTGTGATACAGAATGGAATTCTCAGCATTTTACTACAATATTGCATCCAGTTTTTACATTAACAATAAATAAAGTTCTACATAGATTAAAGATTATCTCAACAACATATTAGTATGTCGGTAGCAAAGCCAAAATTAAAATGTTTGAAGGTGTTACAAAAGTAGATACTACTAGCATATTTACTGGCGTAAGCGATAGCAAAATGGTCGAGATATACAGAGTGTAAAAGAACAACAAGAAGGTTTTAACTAGAGTTTGCAAGGAAGAGAAAAACAAAACAGCACTTAACAAAAATAAAGACAAAAAAGGTAGAGAGAATGGAAAAGAGTGAAAACGTTGTACCCATAAATGATGTGAGTTGGAAAGACGAGATTCATTGGTTCTAGTGACTATTTAATAAGTTAAAGGTTTCATGCCTGATGCATTCTTTATCACACAGAACACGGGCTAGGTAGGGTATGGATGAGTTTTTGTACTTACTAGTGCGGGCATATAGTTTCCTATATAGACTTCTTGTTTTCCCTGAAGAGATACATGGGGAGAGTTGTGAGTGTAGAGGGTGTTGTGAGTCAGATAAAATGGACTTCGCCCATTTTTCACATGAGTCCATGTGCCTGTCCACCAGAATGTTAACAAGCTGGCTAAGTGGTAAACTGCTTACCCTGCTGACAACCTTTAACATCCTACGTAATAAGGTATAGTCTTTCTTCAATAGCCCAGGAAAGACTAAGGGGGAGCAATAGAGAATTATAGGCAGAATACGGGAGTTAACAAATTGTAGTAGTAAGGGTTGGGTTACA